AGCAAAAAGTGCTTAAATTCTGACTTGAAGTAAAAAAGAAGAAAAAAGGTCTATATTTATTTGTTCCTATGTGGCTCTTCGCTTGAGTGCATATCCTGGAGTGGACTTGTTTGTGTGAATGGAGAGTGTTTGGATTGGCAGTGGGTGAGCTGGCTGAGTTCTGATGCAAACTTTAATATAGAAAATGAAAAGGCCCACTGCATATGAGCCGTTTGTGTCATTAATGCAGAATGTTGGTCATTATTTTTGTAAGTAATAAAGATGTGAATAAAAAACAAGTCTTCTGTCTTCCAGTGAGAAAGTAAGTCACCCACTAATATAGCCACTAAGGTCAAATTCAAGACCACACAAGAAGTTGTGAAACATTTTTAATTGGTAATTAAAGTACAATATACAGCAATTAAAAACATAAATTACAAACATTTGATGGCCAATTTGGTTACACCACTGTTCAAATGTTTGGGTGAATATTAGCTCAGAAGGGAAATGTATATAAATTACTATTAATTATGATTGATTACAATTATTTATATTAGCTGCCAGTAGTAACTAGCAGAATTAAATTGCCATCAACTAATCTGTTTGTCCAGCGAACATCCAGTGTACATATCAACTCTTTAAGAAATTCTATTTTCTTAGCCACGGAAAATACATTTCTTCAGTACTGCTTTAGAGCATGTAGCTAGATCGACAGGCATTGACAGGACCAAAAACTCATTATTAACTAAGCACTAACACACAGAACTAATCTAAACAAGCAAACATAATCACTCATACATGGGGGAAGGTCAAGTGAGACTGGATGAATGAAACCGTTAGAGAAACAGGATGAAGCTATGAAAAGGAGTCAGTTAACCACCTGAGTAAAACCATCAGTGCCGTTTTACAACGGAATCTACAGCTTATCCACCTTTTTCTTGTCGTAAAAATGGGCGTGGCCATTTGTAAATTATATGGGTCTGGCTTCCGGTCTCATCTGCGTCCACTCCGTCCAGCTATTTTTAGCTGAACAAAACAGTTCGTTTTGCTGCTTGATATTGAAAGTTGGTGTGTCTTATCATATTATTTTAATGTATTATCTTAATTATGAACACACTGGTTTGTAGTGCAAACAGTTTTACCGTTTACTGCACGTTGTTATTCTCATTATTTACCTATAGCGGCTAATGAACCGGAAGTCTCACCCATAGGCTTACTTCTGCGTTGAAGAAAAAGGTGGATACTGAACCTCTGTTTCGTTTAGTTAAATGTACGATACTTGCATTGCCTTGTTCATTGAAAGTCTTGGTGGTTTGAAGGTTTGGTGGTGTTGGAATTGTGATCACGTTCTTCCGGGTTTGAATGGTGATGAACTCCAAAGATGTTATTCTGACTCTGTGGTGATTGGGAGAGTTTACTCAAGAGTGAAGACATGGCTGTAGTCGAGGCCTGCCAGGTGCAGCTATGCTGGCCCAGCGGAAGACGGGAAGGTGATGATGAGACAAGAGACTAGAAGCAAGCCTTTTAAAGGAACACTCCACTATTTTTGAAAATAGGCTAATTTTCCAACTCCCCTAAGAGTTAAACAGTTGAGTTTTACCGTTTTCAAATCCATTCAGCCGATCTCCGGGTCTGGTGTAGCACTTTTAGCTGTAGCTTAGCATAGATCATTGAATCTGATTAGACTGTTAGCATCTGCTGCAGTACCATGGGTGCAGCAGGCGCAATGATATTATGCAGCGCCTGAAAATAGTCCCCAGCACGCTCCCTGTGCAAGCACGTGGTCACGTTGGTTATGTTGACGGAGGTTAGTCAATTTTCAGGCGCTGCGTAATATCATTGCGCCTGCTGCACCCAGAGTACGGCAGCAAAGTTCCTTGATTATTAGAGAGTATAGTTCCTAGACATATCGGCCTAGAAAATAGCAACTTAATTTTCCGTCGGTCTTAGTACATGATGTAACTACAGAAGAGTCAAGTTTTAAATAGGAAAAATATAGAAACTCTTTGGTCATTTTTGAGCGAGATGCTAACGGTCTAATCAGATTCAATGATCTATGCTAAGCTACAGCTAAAAGTGCTACGCCAGACCCGGAGATCGGCTGAATGGATTCGAAAACGGTAAAACTCAACTGTTTAACTCTAGGGGAGTTGGAAAATGAGCCTATTTTCAAAAATAGTGGAGTGTTCCTTCAAGTTATGTGGAGGTCACACCTTAGGGGGATCAAAGAGCCAATGGTGTCTTGAACTTTTGGAGGGAAAGTTTACAACTCTGTTTTCAAGCATGGTATTTTGCATATGTAACTGGATTGGGTGTTGATGCAAAAACTCTTAAAGACTGTTAGAACACTAATATGTTGCATAGGTATCAACATATAATATAGAATCTCATTTAGATCATCAAAAGGTGAATTCATAGATACTGTCTAATATGAATATGTTATATTAACTAGCTAGTGATTCTATCATGACACATGCATAAAACAGTAAACGATACCAAAGAAAATATACAAGAAAGTAATAATCCTATACAAAATGTCCTGGAGATAGGCATGCTCATTCTGGGAAGGTTTTCTTTAAATGAGTAGGGAAGGAGTTAGTTTTTATAGTTTTTATATTATTATGTGTCTTTTTCAGGAGGGAGCATTAAGTAAGAAGGCAAACTCCATTTGGTTGTAAAGTTTATCTGGTCTGGCTGAGGTGTCATGGTTGCCATGGTAACCAGGGGCCTGGGGGTCATTCACAGACATCTTGGCACCACGTCTGGTTGTTGCGTGAGGGGGTCTGTTGGATTATTTGTTAACTATAATAAATAATTACGTTTCAAATTGGTCCAAACGCTATATATATTTATTCTTGGAAAAACAAACTCAAAACTTTGTGTGTGTGTATAATTTATTTATTTTTTCTCAAAAAAAACAAACATTAAATTCAAAACTTAATGTAAAAATTCAAACCATCATGTAAAATTCAAAACTATAAAATCTTATTTTTAAATTGTAAACATGGTAAACAAACATGGAAAATATTTCAATCAGCACATGAATTGGTGAATCCTTTAATTTTTGTTCTTGACATTCTAGTGTTTGTCATTTAAGCTCTTGATATTCCATGCTACACGATCAACAGATTAAGATATATTTTTCCATTAATCACACTATTCTGAACATATTGGGGCCAACAGGTGTCAAATAAGCACACAAATGTAACCTTGCACTATCCTGGCTTTCAGTTCACATGCTCTCTGTAAACAGTTCCATGGTGTCCTGTTCACGGGAGACAACACTGTCAGCGAAGCACTTCCTGTTCTGCGATCACGTGATCTACAGGCTAATTTATCGATAGGCCTGAATTATTCAGACAGCACAGTATGTTCAAAAACGTAGCAGCTGGTCTACATGTGATGAAATAAATATCTGCTCTAGCTTTTTGCCCTAAATGATCTGTTATCTTGTCCATTTGTATCTGGATATGCAAGAAACACCATCTTAAAACTGATATAAATGAACATTATGGACAATATGTAAACAAAGCGATACACAATTAGCACCAAGTATTGTTTCTGAGATAAGTCTTTTTAGTTTGCATTATTATTATTATATTGTATTATGTGTATATTACTGATTTTCAATTATTAGAGTCACAATGTGTATACCAGTCAAAACTTGGGAATAATTCAGATTTTTTCAAATTAACGTTTTTAAATGAAGTCTCTTATGTTCACCAAGGCTGCATTTATTTGATCAAAAACAAAAATAAAAACAGTAATATTGTGAAATATTATTACTATTTAAAATGAACTGTTAACTATTTATATATATATATTTAAAAGTAATTTCTTCCTGTGATGGCAAAGCTATTACTCCAGTCTTCAGTGTCACGTGATCCTTCAGAAATCATTCTATGTGGATTTGGTGCTCAGTTATTAATAATGGCTCTTAAAATTATAAATGCTGAAAACAGTTTTTGCTGCATAATATTTTTTTTGGAAACTTTTAGTGATACTTGTTTCAGGATTATAATAGAAAGTTAAATGAACAGCATTTTTTTCTGAAACCGAAATCTTTAACATTTTAAATGTATTAAATGTCACTTTAGATTATTTGTGTCCTTGCTGAATTAAAATATTAATTTCTTCTTCCTTCTCCTTCTTCCTTTACTCAAACTTATGAACTGTATTACACTTTGTTTCCACAAAAATATCAAGCAGCACAACTGTTTTCTATATTGATAATAATCAGAAATGTTTTGAGCTGTAAATCAGCATATTAGAATGATTTCTGAAGGATCATGCGACACTGAAGACTGGAGTAATGGCTGCTGGAAATTTAGCTTTGTCACCTCAGAAATAAATTACATTTTTAGATATATTCAAATAAAAAATAATTATTTTAAATTCTACTGTAATATTTCACAATATTGTTTTTCTACTGTATTTTTAAGCAAATAAATGAAGCCTTGGTGAGCATAAGAGACTTTCAAAATCATTAAAAAAATCTTAATCATTCCAAACTTTTGGCCAGTAAAGTAGATACTAGATCAGGGCTGTCCAGACTCAGTCCTGGAGGGCTGGTGTCCTGCAGAGTTTAGCTCCAACCCTAATTAAACACACCTGAACCAGCTAATCAAGCTCTTACTAGGCATACATTTCCAGTCAGGTGTGTTGAGGCAAGTTGGAGCTAAACTCTGCAGGACACCGGCCCTCCAGGACCGAGTTTGGACAGCCCTGTACTAGATAATAATTATTATTTAACAACTATGATACTAGGGGTATAATAATGTACTCTCATACAAGCTGAGAAAACAAGGAAACATTATATATCAATCACTAAACAAATGACTTAATCAGATTGAGGTCAGATGTTTTAGAATTTGTTGAAATCATCTGTTTTACAATGTCAGTTCCAACAATGAGCAAAGAACATTTGTGCTTTCATAAAATGTGTTTACGCCAAAATTAAAGCCGAGGGTTTTACATCTTGTGGTCATGTTGCACAACATTTGCATGATAATCACCCTGAGAGTTCCTCCAGGCCATTTCTCACCTCATAGTTTTATGCCAGAGGTCAAAACATGGTACAGCGTGGAGACGGACATATTTGTTTCCCCCTGAAGAACATTCCAGGCAGCCGTAGACAGTCTCACGCCTCTGGTGGCCCATTCCACACAAGGCACACGGTCCTTTAGGTATGTTATGGTTGAGCAAATTTACACGTGTGTGCTTTTCATCCCGCAGGTAGGCCGTGGACAGGTCCGACATGCTGGCAGCCTTCTCATAGTAGTCCGTCACAACATCATCCATGTACATATCAGAGTGAGTGAGCTCTTCAAACGTCCTGTCATCTACAGCAAGCACAAATCAAGTTAAATGTGGAATATTTCTTCAAGATTATTTTAAATATTGCAGATACAGATATGACAACAGAAGTTGTATCACCTGCTCTGAAAGGATTTCCATAGATGATTCCCGACATGAATCTCCTAAGTCTTCCAACGGAAAAGCGGCCAATGAATCCCCCTAGCTGCTCACGGATCTGTTCCCTCTCAAACCCTCCTACTGACTCTGGAGCCACACATATGTCTGACCAAAGTTCAGACAAAGGTCATTAGATAAAGCAATAAACATTTAAAAATCTAAACAGATCTATGAGTGGACTCCATATGTAATACTATAGATATAGATATATAGCCTACTACTGTTCAGAGTTAGGTTGGGGTAATGTTTTGAAAAAAAAGTATCTTATGCTCACCAAGGCTGCATTTATTTGATCATAATAAATACAGCAAAAACAGTGATATTGTGAAATTATTATTATTCATAATTTTAAAATAACTGGTTTCTGTTTTAATATATTTCAAAATGTAATTTATTTATGTGATGGTAAAACAGAATTTTCAGCAATCATTACTGCAGTCTTCAGTGTCACATGATCCCTCAGAAATCAGTAATATGCTGATTTGGAGCTCAAGAAACATTATAAGTGTTTAAAACCATTGTCCTGCTTATGTTTGTGTTTTTTTATGATTCTTTGAGGAATAGAAAGTTCAAAAGAACACCATTTGAATATTTGAAATAGTAATTTTTTTGAAACATTTTTGTCTTTATTGTCACAATTTAATGCATCCTTGCTGAATACAAAAATTAATTTCTTTAAAAAAAAAAAAATCTTACTGACCCCAAGACAGAACACTACTATGAAGTCATTTAGTGCTTACCTAGACGTCCATCAAGACGCACATAAAGTTCTAGCACACTGAATGCTATGGTCGTGTGGGCTGGAATTACAATGGCTTTATCTCGACCTTTAGGGTTTCGACCATCATCTATCTGGAACTGTGTGAGAAGATTCAGAGTATCAGAGAACAACAGACTTTACCGCCAAATATACTATTTGGGGGGCACACTTGCATTTGTTTACCCTCATGGTAGTTCCTCGCACTCCAGCGTGGACGGTGAGGGAACACTGTCGCGTGGTGCGGATACTCTCCATGACAACACACAGGACAGTCCGCCCACTCTCTTTGGACTGACGGATCAAACAGTGATCCAGGTCAACTTTCCTGATAGAAAAAGAAGTCAGAGGAGAATAGACAAAAAGATTTGTGAGAAAAAGAATGTGAGAATTCAGTGATTCTTTTCCATCAAGTACTCAAGAGTGCTGCTGTTCTGAATATTTGCATGGTATCACAGCCTCAGCCAATATTTCGAAGCCAAAGTTATCGTAACTTAAATTTGAGACACAATTTTGCCTGTTATTTTGTCAAGATTGAGAGCCCATAAAGAACATGTTAATAGAAGTAATATTATGAGAGGAAAAACTGTATTTCAGTTCTTTTGCAAATGTATTTGCTCAGGGAAACACAAAAGCTTACCAAGCAAATGTAGAGTTTCTTGGGAGTTGTGGGAACGCAAAGGTTTTGTGAGAGAAGGCAAAATTAGGCCTACTTTGGGAAACACACATTTTTTTGGGGGAAAATTTTTTTTTGTTTTTACTTGGGAATCAAGGAAACATGAAAGTTTTACAAGTGAACCCCAAATTTTTGTGAGCGAATTCAAAGTTTCTTGATAGTCAAGGGGAATGCAAAATTTTGTGAGCAAACCCAAAATTTTTGTGAGCGAATGCAAAGTTTCTTGGTGGAATACAATACTTTGGAGAGAGAATGCAAAAGATTTATGAAGGGATGGCGGCGATAGCCTAGTGGGCAAATAAACTGACATATAACGCTGTTGCGTTACAATCGTCCCGAGTTCGAATCTAGGCTCGAGGACGTCTCCTGATCCCCCTCCCACTTCTCTTCCTGTCTGTTCTCCACTGTGGTATCATAATAAAGGCAAAGCACCAGAAAAGAAGTCTTAAAAAAATTTTGTGAAAGAATTTTTGGAGCAACGCAAAAGGTTGGCAAGCAAATATGCAAAGTTTCCTGAATGAATATTGGTTGAGTGAATGGTTCTAGCTCTTTCATAAATAAAGTCACTTGTCGCCACCTACTGGCCTAACAATGTAACCTGTCTGTGCAAAAGTGTGAGTTTAAACTATTTTAAGGTCTGTTATATTTAAGATGAACCAGAAAATCGACAATCCGTGAAGATGTATAAAGTCTGGTGTTGAAGAGATTCACATAAAATGTAAAATAAACTGTGGTTTAAAATGACTAAAAGATGTTTCTCACCTTATAACCAAACCAGGATCCCTTATACACTAACAAAGCATGTGGATACTTTATACTGTGGTGGAAGTGAGCCTGTATGTCTGCATAAAGCAGTTTGCTAGAATATGTTTATTCTGCAGCGTACAAGGTTCTTTTGGCTAAAATGTATTTACGGAACGACTCATTCATTCATGACCTCATGTGGCTCCTCTTTATGTCCACTGTTGGGTGGAGAGAGCTGAGGTCCGTTACTGTTGAAGGCACACTGGTAAAACATTAATGGAGAAAAAGAGCTTTTGTAAAGAGTTGTTTATAGTTTCTAGAACACGGTCTGTAGTAATACATTGTGATTGCGGCCAAGAACATCCTGAGGTCACCGTGTTAGTGAGGCAATCATGACGATAAGGTGGGAGAATGTTTGCAATGGGAATAAACTTCTTCATTTAGAACTGTACAAACAACTGTAATGACATGAATAAAAGGGAAACAGTCTAGCAACCTATATTTGTCTTGAAGTAATTTGCCTTCTCAGATGTAGAAAGATTTGTGCAATTAGGCTGGCCGAGTATGAATGGCCTATCCTGTACTGGTTTCAAACTGAACCCTCACCCACCAAAGTTTCTTTAGAGGTACATAGCCTATAATTCTGTTTTTAAAAAGATAGTTCACACAAAAATTGACATTTTGTCATCATCTACTCATGTTGTTCCAAACTGTATGAATTTCGTTCTTCTTTTGAACACAAACGTTTTGTCCATAAAATGAAAGACAATAAGGGGCTAATGTGCATTACAGTTGAAAGTTTGGGGTCGGTATAAAATTTTGTATGTTTTTGAAAAACATTATCTTATGCCCACAAAGGCTGCATTTATTTGATAAAAAAAAAAAAATACAGTCGAAACATTGAAATGTTATTACAATTTAAAATGCATTATATTCCTGTGATGGCAAAGCAGAATTTTTTAGCCGTCATTACTTTTCAGTGTCACATGATCCTTCAGAAATCATTCTAACATGCTGATTTGGTGATCTTCAATCTTGAATCTCCTTTGAATTCTTTGAATAGAATGTTAAAAAACAGCATTTATTTGCAATGGAAATCTTTTGTAATATAACATTATTGACACTTTTGATCAATTAAATGCATCTTTGCTGAATAAAAGCATTAATTTCTTTAAAAAACGCCCAAACTTTTGGACCCCAAACTTTCAAATATTAGTGTATAAAAAATTATAAACAATTACACTAAAACCTTATTGTTATATGACATTTAAATTACATATAAATTGCATATTAAATTACATATAAATATTAATAGTTCTTTGTTCGTGACCTTCATCAGCTCATTGCATTACAGTGTGAAAGACTGATAGGAATATCTCATGTTAATGAGTTTTAACTCATGAATATTAATGAGAGTGTTGACTAATTCATGCTTACTAGCTTATCAAATGGTCATGCTTTATCGCTTTATGCATTCAGGTGCAATCTAAGTGTCAACTGCAGGCAACATACAGAGCTAATAAATGTATATTTTAATCTTAAATGAACTTTTTTGTGTTTTACTTGGAAACAATTTTCACTGAGAAATTGCTTATGAATTTCACAACGAAGAAATGGCAAGTAATACATTGAATTAAATGTGAAATTTTGAAGTAGAAAGACTCAAATAGTACTTTTGTAAAACCTACTACGATAATCTTTGTTTTATTCACGACTTTACAGTGTGGTTATTCTATAATTAAAGCCAATTGGTGTCTGGTGAGTGATGCTGGTGAGCTTTCAAGTGTGATACATGATGCATTCTGCTTCATGTTCTTCATAAGTGTGCATCATCTTAGAGCAGACTAGAGACTAGAGTTATTTTTGCTCCAGCTAGATGAGAGGCTGCAGAACCACAGGGCGGGGGTGCACAGGCTGCCTGGAGTTTCATACAGGAGCGTCTGCGCAGAGGCTGGCAGCTGCGCTCCCGGGTAGAGTGGGCATCTTGTGGAGTGTATGTTGAAGCTGTGATTTTTTCATAGTCTACCTCCTGTGGCAGGCACGGGCAAGGTCTGCGCCTCCTTGTTGTGAAAATGACCGCAGCTCATCACCTCAGGATACCTGTATGGCTGGGGATCTGTTTGGCCCAGGTGTTATTGATCACATGCCAGGATGTCAAGACCGGTGAGTAACCTGTCTCATACTTCACTAACCTGACACAACAGGTGAAGAGCGATACTCTGTATATCAGTATGCGCAGCTGTAGTATTTGATGTAAATATGTAAGAAGGTCAAATAAGTTACATTTACCTTGTTTACCTCTGAATAACCGTACTCTGGCTTTTCATACAATGGCCTTTCTGACCTTCTTTCACTTTAATATCTGGGAAAACAAGACCACGTCATGTTGTTTTTTTCATTGCACTTACACATTCAACTTGGGTGTCTGTGGAAATTATTTATAGATTATTATGAAGATAATTAAATATGCTAAATGTTTTGATTTACATTTAGACTGTTTTGTCTGGACTGTTTAAAGTGGTTTGTTCGGTTTAAAAAAAAGAAAAAAAAATCTAACTGCTATGTTTTTTTTGTACAAATCTGGTATAATTATGTAAATTATGCATGACATATGGGTATTTTGAGTCACTTATGATAATTTGTCCTGATTTGCTTTCCCCCCCTCACCTTATTTTGAGTTTCTCCATATAAGCAGGTTACACCATACAATTACAGGCTGATTCATAACTATTCCTTAATATGTGAAGGAATCTCTCTTTATTAGTATGTTTTACAAGAAAATACTATTTCAGTCTTTCTACTTAAAAATTTTACATTTAATTAAATGTGCCATTTCTTTGTAATTATTTGTGAAATTTACTAGCAATACCTGAGTGAAAATTGTTTTAAACTAAATCCTAGACTAAGTTTTTTATTCAGTGTACTAGTTTAGGAAGTACTAACTTAATGCTCAAAATGATAGTTTGAAGCCCAAAATTGAAACTCTGTCATCATTTACTCACCTCATGTTGTTTTAAACCCGTATGACTCAGTGTCCATGCACTTTTTTATTTTTGGAAAACCCTCATTTAGTGTTCCACAGAAGAAAGAAAGTCATACAGGTATGGAACAACATTAGTATGAGTAAATGATGACAGAATTTTCATTTTTGGTTAAACTACAACCTAATTCATCCTATTAAATGTGATCAATAGTAATGGATGTTGGCAACACACCACAGTAAAGATGTTGTTTTAGTCCCCTTTATGTTATGAACAGAATTAAAAAGGATATGAGGTGGTGGAATAGCCATATTTCCAAAGCAAGTTAATGCTGTTGTAAGGAAAGACCTTCATAACAGGCTTTACTCTAACAGCATCCTTCCCTACTAACTAGCACAATTTGAATTTCTAATTTAATAGTAAACTGGCAAGCTGAATTATCCCGATCTTCTGCTTTGTCAGCTCTATCTGAGTTGAAGACATAATTTCATGGCCTTGCGAGTAATGATGTGAGGTTTTCACAGACCAAAGCAGGCCACCAATTGTGGTCAAAGTTCTTCCCAAAAGAGATGCTAGACACACCCAATCATGTGGCAAATGCGTTTGCCTGAAATCCAGCTGTGATGTTTTCACATTCACTTAGGTTAGTCACACTACAGATCAGGTGAAGTTATTGATTGGTGAAGCATTGTTGGGTAGCTCAGCAGGAATCGATTCAGAGCCAAAATTGACATTGAATTCAAAACCTTTGCATAGTGAATTGATGCGATCACACTCTAATCATAGTCTAAAGGGATACCAAAAAAGACAATTCTGTCATCATTTACTCACCCTCAAGTCAAGTTGTTTTAAACTTCTTTGAGTTTCTTTCTTCTGTTGAAGATATTTTGAAGAATGTTGCTAACCAAACAGTTGCACATTGACTTCCATATGGAAAAAAATAAAAACACACTACAGAAGTCAATGGCTACCGTCAACTTTTTGGTTACCAAACATTCTTCAAAATATCTACTTTTGTGTTCATCAGAAGAAAGAAACTCATACAGGTTTGTAGCAACTTGAGAGCGAGTAAATGAGTGACAGAATTTTAATTTTTAGGTGAACTTCCCCTACTGTACATCAGTCTGGTCTAATGTACAGTACATACAACAACGTGTGTGACCTTCTCACAGTAATTATCCAACATGGGGACACGTCATGACCATTATGAGAGCCAGCTTGTAATGTTTTATGAGAGGGAGGGTGTTATGTCAATCACAGGGTCTGAAATACAGGGTCGCTTGCAGAGAAAATTGTTTGCTCCAATATGACAAATACAAAGTCCATTCTATACATGAAAATATAGTAAAGAA